ACTTCAAACAAAACTAAATTAAATCATTTTTTAAATTAAAGTTTTATCTTTTTCAGTATTTTAAAGTCTGCATCATCATCATCCATACAGTTAACCAATTCAGAAATGTGGTGATATCCCTAATTTCTTTTCACTTCCCAATCCTATCTAGTCACTGAATCCTGTTGATTCCACCTCCTACACATTTCTCTAATCTGGCCCATTTCTCTCCATCTCTGCTGCTACTAACAAAAATCCATCATTATTTATCATCTTGATAAAGGAAACAACTTCTGAAAGTAGTCTATTTATCTACACTCTTATTATATTTCTGCAATCGATTCTCCATAGTACAGTGTTTTCTTTGCATTAAATAAGATCGTATAACACATATTCTTAAGATATTTCAGTCATTCCTCACTTGTCTTGATAATGGTCCAAATGCATCATTTGGATTCTTGTTTCCCTCTTGTATTTCATCTATTACAAACCTGTGTTTCTCAATTCACACTCTAGGTATACTGAATTATTATCAGTTTATTAAAAAAGCTTCATTTTGTTTGTCCCCAGGTTTTTATAGATGCTGTACATTCAATTTCCCAATTCTTTTCACTCCTTTAACTCATAATCTTAATCTCAGTGATCATGTAGGTGTCAACATAAGCATATCTCTCTCCACAAAGTCTTTCCTGAATTCTTTCAAGGCTGGGTTAGATACACCTTGAGTCCAATAGGTCTCATCCTGGGTATCATGCCTTTTTTTTTCATTATCATCAAACTTAAAATTATTTCTCTATTTGCTTTTATCTTCCATTAGAATACCAATTTATGAAGGCAGAGGTCACTGGTCTATATTGGCACCTAGCATGTATCTGGCATATGGTGAGTCCTGGTAAATATTTGTCAAATAAGTGATTTATTGCTCTGAGAGCCCAAATGTAAGCTTTTCAAACATTAACCTTGGTTAATGTACATTTAAAAAGAAGACGTTTATTGTACATTTTGAACCTGCTTTGAAGAGTAAATGACCATTAAGGTACAGGATCCGGGCATCCCTGGTGGCGCAAGAAGTTAAGACGCAAACTATGAAGCCATCAGCAGCAGCTGTAGCATGAGTTCAATCCCCAGCCAGGAAGCAACCGACATGGCGCAGCGGACCTCTCCTGACTCGCCTGCTGCTCCCCTCTGAAGTGTATTTCAGTTGATCTGCCTCTTCTGTTCCCCACTCTGTCTCTGGTGAATCCTCTCACCCCCTACATACCTCTCGCATGTACCACAACTCTTGCATGCATGCATAAATAAATCTTTTAAAAAATATTTTTTTAAAAAAGGTACAGGATCCTTCTTGACTAACATAGGACTTGGATCAAAAATTTTGAAAAGGATGAAGAACGTCTTTGGCATTCTTTAATCTTTGTGTCTGTCTCCAGTCTAACTGTTCCTGCTGCCCTAAGATAGCACATTCATAAAAATGACATACTTTAGTTAGAACATGAACAACTACATCAAACAAGCAAATCTTAAAATCAAAAAGATGATGGAGCTGTGTTCCTCACGGGGTGGGTCCCCAGTGAAAAGAACAAGGACAGTAAGCTTGGTTACACCTCCACTTTCCCTGGACTGTCCTTTTGAAATGCACTGATAGGACACAGACTGCAGAGACTTAGATCTGGAATGTCAGAGAGGAGGGATACTGGTGGTGTCACAAACCAAAGCCAGAACCTGCCCTCCCACCCAGTACATTTGCACCAACAGCTGGACTTCTCCAGGCTCAGCCTCTACCCCCTTACTCTGCAGTTGCAATAACAAGTCTCTGGACCTGTGGAAGCATAGAAAGGATAAAAATCTAAAATCATAGAAATCCATAGTGCCCCTGGCTGGAAAAGTAGAAATAGTTAAAATCTCTAAATTACTGCCACAGACACTTAAAAACAAATAAGGAAATCTAAAGCAGCAACATGGATAGACAGGAAAAACACCACACGTGACATCTTAAGACCACCAGGGAATATGATAATCACAAAGATAGGACGGTTCTCCAGAGTCCAACCAAAAAGACATGAAAAATTTATCTTCCTATAACATTGCCATTTACAATTTTAACACAAAGAATTAAATAGAGTAAACTTAACAAAGGAAGTAAAAGAGGACTATACAAAGAAAACTAGAAGACGTTATTAAAAGAAATGGAAAGATACTCCTTAATCTTGGACTGGAATAATTAACATTGTTAGAATAGCCACCTTACTCAAGTAATATATATCCCTATCAAAGTAATATATATCCCTATCAAAATTTCAATGGCATTCTTCAAAGAAATAAAGTACAATAAACATTACTGAAATTGATATGGAATCACAACAGATCCAGACTAGCCAAGAAAACGCTGACAAACAATAGCAACAGAGGCTTCACACTTCCAGACTTCAAATTATATTACAAAGCTTAGTAATGAAAACCATGTGGTACTGGACTAAAAACTGACACCCAGTCCAATGGAACAGAACTGAAAGTCCAGAACAAAAAGTCCACACTTACATGGATAATCTATGACAAGAGTGTATGATGGAGAAAGTAAAGTGGGCTCAACAATTATGTTGGGGGGCTCCCTAGTGGCACAGGGGTTAAAGTCAGTGCTATCAAGCTATCACCAGCCATTGGAGCACGAGTTCACGCTCCAGCCAGGGAGATACCCACATGGCACAGCAGACCTTTCCTGTCTCGCCTGCTGCTCCCCTTAGCAGTGTATTTCAGTCAGTCTGCCTGTTCTGTCCCCCACTCTGTCTCTGTTGAGTCCTCTCACACCCACACCTCTGGTCTATACCCTAGTTCTTGGATGCATAGATAAATAAAAATAAATCTTTAGAAAAAAACAAAAACAATAATGTTGGGAAAACTGGATATCCACAAGCAAAAGAATGAAACTAGACCACTCACTCATACAATACACAGAATGAATCAAAGACTTTGATATAAGACCTGAAACCACAAAATACATAGAAGAAAATATATGTAAAACACTCTGTGACATTGGCTTCAGTGATATCAGTAAGGGAAATGAAAGCAAAAATAAGTCAATGGGCCCACAGAAAACTAAAAAGCTTCTCCACGGTGAAAGAAACTATCATTAAAATGAAAAGACCCTACCATATGGAAGAAAATATTTACATATCATACATCTGAGAAGGGGTAGTATCAAAGATCTACAAAGAACTCATAAAACTCAACAAAGAAAACAAATAACCCAATCAAAAAAATGGAAAGAGCTAAAAGACACTTTTACAAAGAAGACATATAGAGGGCCAACAGGCACATGGAAAAATGCTCACCATCACAAAAATGCAGAGCAAAACCACAATGAGATACCACCTCCCATCTCTGAGAATGGCTTATATAAAAAAGACTAGGAGCAAGTCCTGGCATGGCGTGGAGAAAAAAGAACTCTAATATGTTGCTGGTGGGACTGTAGACAGGTTCAGTTCCTTTGGAAAACATGTGGAGGTTTCTCAGAACATTAAAAGTAGATTTGCCATGTGATGTAGCAATTCTACTCCTATATTTCTACTGAAAAAGTGCAAAAACACTAATTTGAAGGTATATTTGCACTCCTATGTTCACTGCAGTACTATTTACAATAGTCAAGTTACCGAAACACCTAAGTATCCAATGACAGATGAGTGGATTAAGAAGATGTGGTATATATACACAATGGACTGCTACTCAATAATTTGAAAAAAAGTTGGACTCTTGCAATTTGCTGAAATATGGATAAAATTGGAGGGCATTATGCTAAGGAAATAAAGCAAAAGCAAAAAGACATGTGACATCTTAAGATGATTTCATTCACATGTAGAGTACAGAGAAACAGAACGAAGACACAGATAAAACAAACCCTAAATATCTGACTGAAGAACTGAGGCTATCAGAAGGGGAGCTTTGGGGCTGCAGATGCAAGTGGGGAAGGTGATGAATGGACTATGTTGAAGGACTACAGGTGCCTTGGTGGTAGGTGTGGTAACATATATCTGAAGAGGTGTGAACCTGTACCTCTGAGTAATATATAGTATTAGATACCAACATTACCTCAATATAAAAATAATAGCTAAAAAATAGATAAAACAGACTTTTAAAAGTCATATGAACTATAATGATGGTATAAAAATAAGTGTTATTGAAATAATTAGCACTTATTCCCCATTACTGCCAAATCATTAAACAAGGGAACCTAATATATAATGATTTAAGAATAGGTGTATAAGGGCCTCAATGGTGGTGCAAAGGGTTAAGTCTCAGCACTTTGAAGCTATCCTCAGCCTCTGCAGCACAAGTTCGATCCCTGACCAGGGAGCTGACCCACATGGGACAGCAGACCTCTCCTGTCTCGCCCACTGCTCCCCTCAGCAGTGTATTTCAGCAGATCTGCCTTTTCTGCTCTCCCAACTCTGTCTCTAGTGAATACTCTCATACCCCCTTCACCTCTATACCTCTGGCCTACACCCCAGTTCTTGTATGCATAAATAAATAAAATAAATCTTTTTAAAAAAAAAGAAGTGTATGATTAAAAATGATCCTTCTTCAAAATTATCTAATGTATATTTCAAGGTCAGCAGCTAAATGAGGGCAAATGTAGTATTCCCTATTATTATTCCATTTTTAAAAATCTCTGGAGAAATCATTGGCACGTTATAGGAAGAACTATTGTATCTCTTATTCTGTGTTTTATTTACCTTTCCTGTCTATCCTAAATCTGGATTGAGGAAAAGGTAAAAAAGACAAGTGACCAGAGTAATAAAGAGAGAATAAGAATACCATAGTAAAGAGGCCTAAAGTCTGATAAACCTCATTTTAAACTAGTTATCAAAGATCTTATAAATTTAAGGTTCCATTATATTTAGATTTATGAAAAGTTTTCTTTAAAGTATTCAAAAGGCCATGGGGCCACAGAAATAAAGTTTAATTTCAACAAAAGTATAAGCTTCATACAAAACAAAATAACATATAAATTTTCTACTTTTTTTTACCTGTTTTCCCGTTCATACATTTCCCGAGAAGCACTTCGAAGTTGATCAATTTCTTGATTAGTTTTCAATTTGATTTGTTCTAATTCATCACGTAGCTTATTTTCATATTCTGTTTTATAATGGTCTCTGTAAATAGTCAAAAAGAATGACCATGTGAATATTTTTATTTGTAAAATAAATAGGTTTTTGCCTGTCTTGCACAATTTTAATACATCTGTCAAATATGCTCTATGTATAAAGTTAACTAAAAAACACAGTAATTAGATATGCTTCATATTCCCAAAAATATGGCTCCAAACTAATTCCACATTGGATTTCAAGCTTTTATTTTTATTTAAACTTTCATTTTTTTTTTTTAATTTATACAATAGCTGGGGTACAGGCCAGAGGCTCAGGAGGGTGAGGATTCACCAGAGACAGCAGGGAGCAGAACAGGCAGACGGACCGAAAGCACTGGTGAGGGGAGCAGCAGGTGCAACAGGAGAGGTCTCCCATGCCATGTGGGAATTTTCCTGGCCAGTCTGGAATCGAACCCATGCTGCAGAGGCTGCAGACAGCCTCACAGAGGCCCAGATTTCAAGCTTTTATACATATTGCTTAGGGCCTCCCCGGTGGCCCCTACAGTTATCAAGCTATTGTCGGCCACTGGGGCATGAGTTCGATCCCTGGCCAGGAAGCTAACCCACATGGCGCAGCAGACCTCTCCTGTCTTGTCTGCTGCTCCCCTCAGAAGCGTAGTTCAGTATATCTGCCTGTTCTGGTAAATCCTCTCATACCCTACACCTGACCTACAACCCAGTTCCTGTGTGCATAAACAAATAAATAAATAAATAAATAAACATATTGCCCTAAAGACTTATTACTAATGTTAGTTAATTCATATTAAATAATTATTTATCTTCAAAAACACTTTACACATGGTTTTTAAACTTGAAAATGTGTATGGAATGTCTTTCCTTTAGAAATAATAATCTGGTATGATGCAAAATAGGAGAAAATATTTTTAAAAATGTAAAAAAAAAAATGACTCTAATGAGCTCTTTATAAAATCTTTCATTCTAAGCACAATAACCACAGTTACTGTGATTGCTTAGCAAAGTCACAAAGCATTACATAGGACATTAGCAGGACCACTAACTGATAAAAAATACCATAGGTTAAGGGAAAAGTTATCAATGTGTGAAGTCTTTTTTTTTTTTTAAGATTTATTTATTTATACAAGCACTGGGTACAGTCAGAAGCACGGGAGGGTGAGAGAATTCACCAGAGCCAGAGTAGGGAGCAGAGCAGGCAGAAGGACCGAAGTACACTGTTGAGGGGAGCAGCGGGCGGCAGGAGAGGTCTGCGCGCCATGTGGGATCCTCCTCCGGTGGCCGGGGAGCAGCTGGGGATCGAACCGGCGCCGCAGAGGCTGCGGGCAGCCTCGCAACCCAGCGCTCAACCGCTGCGCCACTGGGAAGGCCCTCAATGTGTGAAGTCTTAAATGATAAAATTTAGAATTTGTTTCAGTTTTTGATGTGCTAATAAAAATAAGCAACTTAAGGATTATAATGGCTACATGAATTCTAAAAACTTATACATCAAGTTAAAGAATGAAGAGAGAATTGAAATGCAGGAGTCTGATTCCAGAACCTACATATTAAAATGTATATATTAAAAATACTGTCTCCTCATTCTTCTTTCCTGTTTCTAGAGTTAGGAAAAGGTCATAGGATTAGATTTTCTTCAGAAGGATACTTCTATAAAGATACTTCTATACCTTTTTAAAAAATATTGATATAGAGATCTTCATTATAGGGAATTTGAAAGGTTATTTCATTACAAAAAATATATGAACAGTTATATGTACTTCTACCTAAAAGAAACAATATCTAAAAAAAGTCTTAAGAAAAAAATCAATTAGAGTAAACATATCTTATAAGTCGACAAATGAACTATTTTATCTATCACGCCACAGAGCTAAAAACATGACTATTCTCTACCAAAGCCAAGAGACTTCTTAGGGAAAATGATGTTATTTTAAATCTATATATGTGTAAAATAATGTAAATCTTGCCTGGATGTTACATATTTTTCATACATCTCTTCTCTAGCTTTTTTGGTTTCTTCCAGCTGAACTTCAAGTCTCTCACGGCGATCCTCTTCATGGGCACAGCGAACACTAAGCTCCATGTTTTGGCGATTGAGATATTCTTTATCCTTTTGCAGTAAAGTAACTGTCTGTTGTAAGGTGACTACCTACATGCACACAGAGAGAGTGTTCAGAGCATCTCACCTCATTTTCCCAGTTTACTGTATTGTTTTTTCTCATTTATGCTTTTCACTCACCACATCAAAAGGGCTAACTCTTATTTTGTAATCTTCTATTCCTAAAGAGCTACTCAAAGTCCCTTCTTTCTGGCAACTACATCAAAAGGGAAAAAAATGTCCCTCCCAAATTTGGCCCTGGGCTATGCTCACAATCACTGTACAATAAAATACAAGTGACTCTACAAGCTTACCTCTTTCGATAATTCACTTCTTTCTTTAGTTTGAGTTATGTGAGAGGCTTCAAGTATTTCATGTTTTCTCCTTAAGTCAATTACTTCCTGGTCAAGTGCATCACGCTCACTATAAAATTCAAATACATTTATTTTTATTAAAATAAAATTCAAATACATAAACGTATATTTTTCATCCCTCTTTACAACAAATATTTAAAAAGGTTGACTATATTTCAGGAAACTGAATAGTGGGGCTTTGGGGTCATTCTATGAACAATAAAGTATCTACTTTTCAAATTTAAAAGGAATTCTCTGTTCAAGACCTTGCTCAGATTAAAAAAAATGTGAGTTTATTATCTTTAGAAAATAAATATGTAAACTACACTAGTCAGTAAAATAAATAATAAAACTTTTTAAGGTATAGTCTGGTATCTTTTCACTAATCATCTCCAATCTTATCTTGAAGCTAAAACCTTTAAAGAATTTATAGATGGCTCTAGGCTTTCAGTGCAGGGAAGGTCAAAAAGCCCTTATAACTCATTACTCGGATTGCATATCAGATAGACAGGCAGGCATTCTTGTGATTATTTCATTCACAAATTGTGTGTGATTATCCAGAGATTCTAATTTCTATTTCAGGCCATCCTTTTCCCAGAGACTATAAAACCAAGAATTGGACAAAAATCTACAATATGTATCATAAAAAATAAGCAGAAATACAGATAAGCCAACTCTTAACTTATCCTTTCCAGTCAGAATCAATGCTTTTGCACTTTATTTCATCCACCCACCTTGAATTTCCATGGAGAGTGTTTTTCTTTTCATTAGATTTTCTATGATTCATGTAGATGACTTTTTTCTACTGGTTAATAAAGTATTGTATTTATTGAAGAAAAGTGAGCAAAGTGGTACCAGTTAAAAATAACAATCACCAATAAAACCACTAGCTAAAGATGACTATTAGTTTTAATATTATTACTTATTTATATAAACATTAGTTTAAATATTCTGTTCTTTTATGAGCAAATATTTTTATCCTCACAAGGTAATGATCATGCTTCCTTTGCAATGTCTTTTTTTTTTTTTTTAATTTTTTTTTTTTTAATAGAGGCATGTTTTATTTTATTTATTTATTTGTTTGTTTGTTTTTTTTTGTTTTGTTTATACATGCACTGGGTACAGTCAGAAGCGCGGGAGGGTGAGAGAATTCACCAGAGCCAGAGCGGGGAGCAGAGCAGGCAGAAGGACCGAAGTACACTGCTGAGGGGAGCAGCGGGCGGCAGGAGAGGTCTGCGCGCCATGTGGGACCCTCCTCTGGCGGCCGGGGAGCAGCCGGGGATCGAACCTGCTCTGCAGAGGCTGCGGGCAGCTTCGCAACCCAGTGCTCAACCGCTGCGCCACCAGGGAGGCCCTTTGCAATGTCTTTTTAATGTAAAAAGTGTTTACAAAACATGATACAACAAAAACAATCATGAACTCGCTATAGTCAGTAATAGTTAACATGTTAATATTTGCATTAACATTTTGTTTTTTCTTTAAAAAATATGAATAGAGGCATCTAAAGTCTCCTATATTCCCTTACAATTCCTTACACCCCCTAATTATATTAGTGAATTTAGTGCTTCTATATCATGTTTTTCAAAATACTTTTATGTATCAATTTTTAACATTTTGTCAAATTTACTACTACTACTTATTAAATTCATGCTGTTATATATATTCCTCTCCACTCTGTTGTTTATATACATGAAAGAATATACTGGGTTGTCAGAAAAGTCATGATGCGTTTTTGCTTGAAAAACAAAAAATTCATCATGACTTTATGTATACACATATAAATAGTTGCACGCATTTACACACACACACATATGTGCATTTTTTTTCATTTAACTAACTAGGAGTTATACAAGGACATTAGGTCTCTTTATTCCTAAATAAGTCAGTGTGAATTTACTAAGATTAAAGATTATTTTTATGTAATCAGAGTATAATTAGCAAATTCAGGAGACTTAGCTCTAATACACTTATAATTATATACCTAATTATATAATTTTATACCTAATATATAATCCATTTTCAAATTTTGCCACTGTACCAAAAGTGTCCTTTATAGCAATATATTTTTCCTGGTCTAGAATCTAATGTATTATCATGCACTGAATTTGGATGTCATGTGTCTTTAGTATTCTTTAGCCTTGACAGTTCTTTAGTCTTTGTCTTTTATGACATTGTGTTTTGTAGAATGCAGATCAAGTGTTTTTATGAAATGTCCCTCAATTTCATTTGTTTGAAATTTTGCTATGATGAGATTCAGGTTCAGCATTTTGGGCAGAATACTACAGAAGTGATAATATGTCCTCAGTATATCATATATAGACACATTGTTTCATTTTATCACATTATTGCTTGAGAGTAATTTTATTTAATTGCTTATGATACTATCTGACAAAGTTGTTTTTGTTTTTTCCTTTCAGGTTAGAACCAGTGGTTCTGCATACTTTGGGGCATTTTTATTGGCTCCATCAAAAAGAGGGGGACATATGTCTTAGCCCTTCCAATCATTGCGTTGTGGATTACTTACTCTTAACTTCCAGAGGAAGTTTTCTAGAAAAACACTCAAAGGCTTTGTTATTTATTATAGAAGGATGGAAAAACTTCTATTAAATGGAATTTTAACTTTGCAAATTCTGCTTCCTATATAAGTATTGATTCATAATGCTACGGTGTTCTTCTGGAATGCCTGGGTTGACAGCTCTAGAGCTGTGTGGTTATTTATTTTTTTCTTTTATTAATTTTCACATTGTTGTTTATATTTTACAGTATTTGATTTTTCTGTCAGTCAGGTATAGAACGCATAAAAAAACTGTGATACAGGGCCTCCCCAGTGGTGCAGCGGTTGAGCGCTGGGCTGCGAAGCTGCCCCCAGTCTCTGCAGTGCGGGTTCAATCCCTGGCCACCGGCGAGGGTCCCACATGGTGCTCAGACCTCTCCTGCCACACTTGCTGCTCCCCTCCGCAGTGTACCTTGGTCCTTCTGCCTGTTCTGCTCCCCGCTCTGGCTCTGGTGAATTCTCTCACCCTCCCATGCTTCTGACTGTACCCAGTGCTTGTATAAATAAATAAATAAATCTTTAAAAATAACAACAAAAAAAACCTGTGATACATCTAGACCATGGAATCTTATTAGTGTTAAAGGGAAAAGAGTTATCTGACTATGAAAAGTCATGCAAAACTTAAATGTACACTTTTAAGTGAAAAAAGCCAATCTGAAAAGGCTTCCATCTATATGACATTCTGGAAGAGTCAAAACTATGGGGGCACGCAGACCTCTCCTGCCGCCTGCTGCTCCCCTCAGCAGTGTATTTCGTCAGTCTGCCTGTTCTGTTCTCCGCTCTGGCTCTGGTGAATTCCCTCACCCTCCCGCGCTTCTGACTATACCCAGTGCTTGGATAAATAAAATAAATAAATCTTAAAAAAAAAAAACAAACAAAACTATGGAGACAGAAAAAGAATAAGGTATAAAACAATTAACAGTGCTGATGGTAAGAATCCAGGTAACCATGAAGCATGTCAAAAATGAGAACTTCAGAAGCCATCTATAATTACTTACCTTTTGACTTTATCATAGTTTTCTTGACGGTAGTCACCTTGCTGAATTAACTGTTTTGTGTCTGCTAATTCTAAAGCCAAACGCTGACATCTAATTTGAACCTCAGAGTAGTTTCTTCGATCTTCTTCGTAAGTCTACAAACAAAAATATGATAAAATATTGCAAACTAAACATAGTTAATCAAGTCCTATATTGAATTCTTCTGTGAGCTGTGAATATCTTTGTAATTTAAAAAAACACTCTTAATCTTTCTTTTTAGAGGGTATCATTTCTGCTTTTATTACCACTGTATGAAGTAGGTACTTTTAAATTTAATTTTATATATATTTTACATCATTTTTCCTTTTTGAACAATGCATGCTTTCTCTTCTCAGTTGTATTCCCTGTAAAATTCCCACCACCAATTCACCCCCTGAACCATCACCACAGTTCCTTGTGTAAGAACACAATCCCTCCCGTTTTGATCCCTCTTCCTTCCCCTCTCCTGTAGTGTCCCTGATTAATAGTTTAGTAACTGTTCCCTACTCAAAAACAGGTAATCTTAAACTCACAGAAGAGTCTGTACATTTATTTGTTTAAAAATTAAGCTATTAAGAAATGTTTTTCATTAAAAAAATAGGACAACTATGCTTGTTTATTAAAATAATACATGACTGCCAACATTAAATGACATTTTTCAGCATTTACTGAGTTACTATTTGATGCTAAAGACTCAGAAATGAATAAATAAAACACAGGTCCTATTCTCACTATTTAGAGATGAACAGCCACATGAATATCAAATATCTACAATGACAAAGAGTTACTGAAGAAATTAACCATACAGTGAGTTTCATGTGTGGTATTCGGCAAAAAAGGAATTTTGCGGCACTGGGAATGTATTTCTACATTGATCTTCCTTCTAATGGAGCAGTAAAAAGGGATTATAGAAATATGGGAGAGGGGAAGGGTGTGGAAATGTAAAACTAAAACCCAGTCCTGCAAAGAGTATGAAGATATTTGTGCTACTGAATTAGTTTTCTATATACCTTACCAGAGAGTAAATATTTTAAGGGCAGGATTTCACCTTATCTACCACTGGATCTCCACCACTTTACATAGTACTTGATATACAATAAGGATAAAATAGATGGGCCTCCCCGGTGGCACAGTGGGTTGAGTGCCGCACTGTGAAGCTGTCCGCAGCCTCTGCAGCATGGGTTCGATTCCCAGCCCACCAGGGAGAAACCCACATAGAGCAGCAGATATCTTCTGCCTCATCCGCTGCTTCCCTCAGCAGTGAGTTCAGTCCATCTGCCTGTTCTGCTCCCCACTCTGTCTCTGGTGAATTCTCTCGCCCTCCCGCACCTCTGACTGTACCCCAGTTCTTGTATAAATAAATCTTTAAAAAAAGAATAAAATACATGCTTTTGAGTAAATCAAATAAGAAATTAATGTATCAATACATGGGAACATGAAGAGAAACAGGGCACAAAGACAGAGTTCCTTCTTATACTCCCACTGTGAACTCATTAGATCTTATAAGCAACTGTCAGCTCCACCCTCAGAACCTGTCATGTTAAATACATGCTGTCCCAAGTCATTTCTACTTAAGCAGCATTCCACAAATACTGATGAATTATTTCTAAGTGACTGGTCTTGCACTAGACATTGTAGATAGAATGATGAGTAAGATACTGTTTTTCACTTTTTAAAATATTAAACATAACTTTGAAATGTTAACTCCCAAATTTCTACAAAAGGGCTATTCGAGAAATAAAAATATATTCAGCGTGTTTTGCTTTAATATGTTTTTCCCAACACTGATGATCTCCGTGAAAGTGGAGTGTTACTATATGGAATTTATTATACATCACAACTGAGGATACTCCATCACTACCATAAAGGATCATCAAATACATCATTTCAGACCTAAGTCTCAGAAGATGCCTTAGTTTCCTTGAAGAATGCTTACCCTTTGAAACACTATTAACTGGGTAAGTATTCTGGAAGTGTGTAGTGTTATAGTTATGAAGTCAAGCTCCAGAATTTAACCCACCAGAATTAAATTACCTAAGGTAAGACTTCAGGGGGGTTATCTGTTAGCAGGTTAGTGTTCTCATCTACCTCATGGAGGTATTGTGAAGAGTATTATCAACATGTAAAATGTTTATGAAAATGCCTAGCACATAGAAATGATCACTATCTATCATAACAATGTCTTCCATTTATTTTGACTTCCAGAGATTATGGCCACACTGACAGCATTTCTTCAATAACTGCACAGAATTCTGAGGAACATAAACATGGGGAATATAAACATTTATGGGGTGGGCAAAGAAAATAATGCCCAGGGAGTTTGAGGGAGTATTCATAGAATTAAAGGGTAAACTGGGGTTGTGTGTCAGGAACAACTGTAAAAGAAAGTGCTTTGAGGGCCTCCCCTGTGGTGCAGGCGGTTGAGTGCAGCGCTGTGAAGCTGTCCACAGCCTCTGCAGTGCCTGTTCGATCCCCGTCGGCAGTGGAGATACCCACATGGTGAGCAGACCTCTCTTGTCTCGCCTGCTGCTCCCCTCAGCAGTGTTTTTCAGTCAGCCTGCCTGTTCTGCTCCCAGCTCTGTCTCTCACCCTCCCGCACATCTGGCCTGTACCCTGGTTCTTGTATAAATAAATAAATCTTTAAAAAAAAAAAAAGAAAGAAAGTGCTTTGAGGAGAATGGAAGTCAGTAGTGTTGACTACTACTGAGAAAAGCGACCAACGAACCAACCTACCAACCAATGCATGAAGAAGACAGCCTGCCAGAGATTAAAGCAAATATATCTGAATACTCAATATGCCCTTGCTTTGTGTTATTTTACATGCAGTCTCTCACTTAATATTTAACTTTATAACTGGGCATAAGTGTTACCCTCATTTTTATAGATGAGGAAACTGAGGCTTGGAGAGGATTAAGATCTCAAAGCTTGTACGTGGCTGGGTAAGGACTCCAATATAAGTTTATCAAACTGCAAAATTGTTGGCAATTCTCCTTTCACTTTAGAAGTGGAGAAAGTATAGTGGCTAAAGAAAACAGGGATAAATGAAGGTTTTGTAAAAGATAGGACAGGTTTGAAATGTTCAAATGTTGATAGGAAAGAACTGACAGCAAAAGAACGAACAGGATATTGTGGAGGATGATTCCAATGCTCACTAGGCTTTACCTGGCATGGAGCCAGAGATCATTTGTGGAGATGAGACTTAATTAAGAAGCCATTTTTATCATGGCAGGGTTTTTTCCAGCTGATACAGAGTATTAAAAACCTAAATTTGGGGTCTCCACAGTGGTGCAGCCAATTGAGCGCAGCACTGTGAAGCTGTCCGCAGCCTCTGCAGTGCCAATTCGATTTTCGGCCTGCCAGGGAGATTCCCACATGGCACCGCAGACCTCTCCTGTTGTACCTGCTGCTCCCCTCAGCAGTGTACTTTGATCTTTCTGCCTGTTCTGTTCCCTGCTCTGTCTCTGGTGAATTCTTTCACCCTTCCACGCCTCCGGCCTGTACCCCAGTACTTGTATAAATAAATAAATAAATCTGGGAAAAAAATTAACAATAAAAAAACCTTAAATTTGGATGTCCATCCTACTGCTGGATATATTAATATTATACACTTGGTTTCTAAAGACACGTGGTCCTTCCACACCTTTAAAGCAAGATTAACCCCACTACAAACATTAAGAACAAACAAGTGCAAATGTAAGTATGTTTGTAGGTTTGGTGTCAGGAAACTGGGAATTCTCACTGAGGATTTCCAAGTTCTCTATAAAATGACATACAAAGTGATCTGCTGAGAGGACAGTAGAAAGGTGGGAGATGTGAGGAGAGTGGTGACTAAACAATCTTCTGAGAAATGATAAGACTAGAAAAAGTCAGAATTATAGCACAATGTAAGGGCCCATGTGAGGCTGGCAACAATGAGCTTTTAATGCTCACTACTGTCTATGAGATCTCTAGTAGTGCCCAGTTGATGAAATGAAGAGTCAAGATTTTGTTTGGCAAGGTTGGTAAAGGGTAGTTGGAGAGGAATTAGAGAATAGTGTTAAGAAAAAGGCTGAGAAGTGAACATAATCAAGAAGGAAGGAGATCAATTTAGGAAGAGGCTGATAGTGAAATAAATTATATGAGCTGAAAATTCTCTTAAGTTAGAAGTAGAACTGAGAGAAGTAGAAATAAAGGAAGAAATAGGTTCAGTGGGGGCATCCCTGGTGGCGCAAGGGGTGAAGACTCAGCACTATGAATCTATCCAAAGCCACTGCAGCATGAGTTCGATCGCCAGCAGGGGAGGAAACCCATGTGGCACAGCAGAACTCTGTTGTCTCACCCACTGCTCCCCTCAGCAGTGTATTTCAGTGGCTCTGCCTGTTCTGTTCCCCACTCTGTGCCTGGTGAATCCTCTCACCTCCCATACCTCTGGCCTGCACCCCAGTTCTTATATGCATAAATAAATAAATCTTTTTTAAAAAAAGAAATATGTTCAGTGATCAGTCTGCAATTTCAGAAGTCAGCCAGTTCTGGGTGACAAGAAATAGAATATGGGCCATGAGACTGTGTGCTAAGGTAGAGAAGAAGCTATCACTAAAGATGAGAAGATAAATAAAATGCAAGGCCAAGGTTATGGGTAAATCAAAGAAATAACACAGGCAGGAGCTAAGGTGGAAAAGATGAATAAATCTAGAGCAAAGGTTCTACCAAAAAGAATGTTCCAGATCTGCAAATGAGGGAGATTATAAGGTGGGGTTCCAGATTACACAAATGCCAAAGCAGTAGGAGCTTTTATGATTATGAAAGTGCCAATATTTAAAACTGTAAAGTTTTAGGGCCTCCCCAGTGGCGCAGCGGTTGAGCGCTGGGTTGTGAAGCTGCCCGCGGCCTCTGCGGCGCCGGTTCGATCCCCGGCTGCTCTCCGGCCACCGGAGGAGGGTCCCACATGGCGCGCAGACCTCTCCTGCCGCCCGCTGCTCCCCTCAGCAGTGTACTTCAGTCCTTCTGCCTGCTCTGCTCCCCGCTCTGGCTCTGGTGAATTCTCTCACCCTCCCGCGCTTCTGACTGTACCTAGTGTGCTTGTATAAATAAATAAATAAGTCTTAAAAAAAATAATAAAATAAAATAAAATAAATCT